TCATATGGGTATAGTGTCTCTTGAGGATATCTAGTTTCAGTGGGAGTTTGTACTTTTGCTTTTCATATTGGACATATGTACTGTTATTTTGAATACAGTTTAAGGTTAAAGTTATTTTCGGTTATAAGGTTATTTGATTTATTATTTCTGAACTTGTTTAAAATGATCTCACTAAGATATTAAGGTGGACCAGTTAGAAATAGTCATGTTACAGATCACATCACATGTAATTTTCATGCTACACATCCATGTTTGATCCATGTCATTCGGTTATATCGATATACGTGACCATTGATGGGTTTAGCTACATGAAAGTAGTGAAAGCCGCTTTAATCCTATGTTGATATGATTGATGGACAGGATTGTTTTGGGGATGCACTCAGTAATGATAGCAAAATTTTGAGTACTCATAAGGTTATGTTTAATGCACAATTATAAGGTGACACATATAACCTAAGTGGGAGATTGTAAAGATTTTTAATCCATCGATAGGCTTATATGTGTGAATAATTGTGTGTTAAATTAAATGCTATCAAATTTGGTTAGGCTCAATTAAAGTGATCTAATAAGACTTAGATTTTGGGTTTTAATGTATCCAATTAAAGTGTGAATTTACATATGTGTAGAGACCGGGCCCAAGTCCTAATTCTATGATGGACCGAATTAGGTCAAAGGACGCCACTATATAAATATGGTTATGGTTCCCAAATCACACGTATGTATTATTCATTCTCTACTACATCTCATCACAGAGAGAAAAAAGAGATTGCATGTATATTTGGAAGACTATATGCAGGATTCAATTATTGCAAATAACCATGTCTGATTTAGGTACGCTTCCGCTATAGTTCTTCAATTTCTTGATAATTTAATATGAAAGATCCAGTGATTTAAAGCAATAAATTATCCTACACCTCGTACAAGTTCTATTCTATCGAACCAATATTTTAGGGACAAACAATTAAATTTCTTCCCCTATCTATATCTAGCTATAAATATGTATAATGATTATTTGCTTTAGTTTTTCTCTGATGGAGCTGAAAAACAGCTTGAAAATTTTGATTGAGACAACATGGGATTTGCATGTTAGGATAAATGAGAAAATCAATAGTATTAATGGCTTCAAATTTTGCAGACATTGCTCAGATATGCATGGCCATTATTGTGTGGTTACAGATGACACTGTGAAGAGAGGGAGAAAATGATTGCCATCTGGGATTCACTTCATGATCTTTATAACATTCTGATTTACTTGCAGGTATTACATAAAATATTGTACTGACTCGACTAGACAGGATAAATTGCAAAGGATTTTCATTTATTTTTATTTGTCGGTCTTGCTCTATGTTGTCTAGTCTAAAATACCAAATAGATTCTTGGGCACTTTTTTCCTTGATCATTGGTGTAATTTCGGCATACTAATACATTATGTGGTTGCATTTTAGCGTTAAAGTTAATCTAGTGTTGCATGATTTACAATTTTTTGTTTAAATATTTGAACATTATACTTTTCTAATAGCTCGTTAGAGCTTTTTCAAATTCCAATCTCACATTGAGGTTATAGTTTCCATCACGAAGAAAATAAGATTTTACCCTAAACTCAACCCTTAATCGATAATTGTTCAAACAATGCAACAGTTCAAGGAACAAATAATGAAATTTGTCATCCACCAGTTTTCTCAATTTTAGTAAACCGCCAATGGCTTCAAACTCTTCAAAGAGAGCAAGATGTTGTGTATCAATTCTTATACTATGATGGAGCTTTGTGGTCAACCTTTAGTCGAACTGTTCGAGCCACACAATGTATCATATCATCGAGGGGAAAAATCGCTATGTTAGTATTAACAGTCCCAATAATCCAAGAAAAACACAGAAATATAAAAGAACACAAGGATTTTTCACCCGTAGGCCCGAATGTTCATCCAAAAAAGGGCTACGTCACCACGTTGAGCTTCCACCAAAGTGGTTAACGCTCTAATCCACTATAAACCAGCAATAAAATATCAGTACAAAGTTTACAAACCACAGATCTAAAAAGATCAGCCCTCAGACCCTATTTTTCCCTTACAGATCGGACAAACAGATTACACCAAGTAATCAAACTTCATTGTTCAACCAAGAACATATATAATCTCTACATCAAGTACACGAACTAGATCTCACCAAGAACATATAATGATTCAGACATTACAAACTAAAAACAAGAGATTTTTCGAGAGAGAAAACTACAGAGTGCAAAACGAAAGATAACCCTAGAAGTCTCTCGAATCATGGTAAGTGAAAAATCTAGGGCTAAGTATAATTAAAGGTCACTTGCATCCAATGGTTCAGCCAACTCCACTTGGCACCATCTTATCCATCTAGTTAAAACAAACTAAAGTCGCATTTGGAGAAAACACGAGTCTGCACAAGTAGGGGCAAACTGGGTCACAAACAAACTTGGGCTCAACTGTTGGGTTCCATCATTGGGCCTAAAGGTGCTAAGCATTATTCTTAACACGTTATGTTTCTACGGCACTAGTTTCTTCATTTATCAAAAAACAGAAGACTTGAATTTATTAAACGACAGCTAAACAATCGATATACCCACACTTCGTCCAAATTATTCATGCGTCTACCTTACAAACGTTTTTTTTGTCTTTGATGAAATGTAATGCAGAGAATGGAGTCTTGCAAAAAGACAGAGAGAGATGCAGCTCTAGACAGTTTGGAAGAAAATAGACATTTTCTGATTGAAAGAGAAAATCAATGTAAGAAAAAAGCTAGTAAACTTGACGTTCTTGAAGAACTAACAGCATTATTTGGCAATGGAAAAACTGAAATCGCTTGGAATTTCAGAGAGAAAAAGATTGAACAACACAAGATTATGAAGAGGGTTTCTAGTTTTCTTGTTAACACTACAGGAACTGGCATAGAATTGGTTGTGGTATTTGCTTGTATTTCTTCATCAGGTAAATTGTACGAGAAAGGGCAACAAAATTATCAGTCCAGAAGAGAAATTCTTGCACCTGTGGATCCAATAGAAGTCCATTTGGATGTATCGTATGGGAAGGGATGATTTTTATGTAGCATACATGGTCGATATGTGATGGCATGTTTACAACGTAGATTTAGAGTACATTGTATGGAACAATCGACTATATTTTTTTGCCTCTTAATCTTATCTTGTTCTCTTTATTCGAACTTATAAAACACCGGCTCCAGCAATTTGCCACCCTAAGACGATTGGTTAATAATGCTAAATCCCAATCCTTGCATTTTTCGAAATTCAAAGTTGATATATAACACAGAAAACTATCTGGACTATACTTTATATATAATAATTATTACCCTAATCTTTTAGATAATTCCAGTGCTAAGATGTTAGACGCTTCATGCGAATCCCTTCAAATGCTCAGCAACATTTGGTCAGAGTAATCATCTTCGCTCTCCAAAGCTAGGATTTCTTTGGTCTCGAATAGTCGATTTTCAGCTGCCAACGACCACAAACAGATAAAAAAAACTCGGTTGTAAATTTATGAAATAACCTTAATGGTTTGTCCCCTGGATAGTAGAAATGAAATGGGAACACCTTTAACTCGAGCCATCTCTACATAGTAATGATCATCAATGCCATTGTGGGAGGTAAGAATCCTGAAGATGACAAATTTACCGATGAACTACCAAATTAATGACAAATTATACGAACATATGAGGAGACATCTTGTCACTGGATTCAACTAACTTAGTAGCTATTCTCTAAGAGACCTATGTTTTGATATATAGTTATAATTGGTGTCAGTTTAAATTTCAGAATTAGCTTTCACAATTAAAACAGTAATGCTGACTAAATGTTCAAATTATGATCTTATTCATTGAGGTGATGAGTTTTTTAATTTTTTCTATAACTGTTGTAAATAGATTTGAATTTTGAATTCTTATTGTGCTAAGCACCTATATCATAGGAATCAAGGACAAAGATCGAAATTTGTAACTTTTCCATGTCCATTGTCCAAATTTTAGAGGTTTGAACACCATGTTGAAGACAAAGTTAAAATAAAATATATCTCGTGTTAAAACTTTTCGACTAGGTGGTTCAACATCGCATCATAGTATGCAATGATTCAATGTTCAAGTCTCGTCACAGCCCATTTATAGTTTCACAAGTCAAGTAAGGAGAAAAAAAAAATTAATCTTACCTACACATGAGGAAACATGTTGAAAATATAATTTAATTAAATATATGTTCCGTAATTTTATAGCTAAAACTTTTAGATGACGGGATTAATCGTACTTAATATTTAATGACCTTGACACTCGCTGTTAAGTCCAAGTAACACACATGCAAATCTTATTAATACTTGTGCCGTCAAAACTATAAGGCAAGCAGTACTCGAGTGATCATTTTGAACATGTTTGGTCTTATTATTTAATTATAATATAAATAATTTAAATTTTACGTTTTGTTTACAGTTTTATTGTTTGTGCTATGTGAGTTTATCGATTTAGTTCTAGAGAACTATTATGAAGAAGAAGAAAATTTTAAATGTAAACTATGATTTTAGGGTCCATTTTTTAAGTTCAGTCCAAATATTGTCACGTCCAACCAAGTAAATATTTTGTTGAGAATAAAGTGACAAGATTGATATGTCAGAAACGATTGAATATTTTTATTTTAATTTTTCAAATTATTCAATCATGTATCGACACATATTTCATCTGTATTTGAGTTTGAATTTGAACTTAAATGTATAGCATAATTGTATGATTAAGGAGGTGTTTGAGTCACATTATTTTGGTAATAATGTATTATTGAATAGTGTATTGATGAGAAATGTGTGTTTAAAAAATATAGAAAGTTTTTGATTTGCGTATAATATTATTTTATTGAAAAATATATGATTAAAATGATGATAAATTACTATTTAAAAATATATATTTTTTAAAATAACGTGGTCCAAACAGACCCTAAATAGAATAAACATATAAGAAAAATCCTACTTTTTGTGATTCTTCTCGCGTAGCTTATCATATGCAGATGCGTTGCGCCTTATTTCCACGCCACCAATGACGAATTCTCCGACGTTTGCAATACAAATTTCTTCCTTCTTCTCCATGCAATATATCATTAACCCAACATCCTAAATGAATAAGGAAATCCCTGTAATAATTAACCCAAGTAATAGTATAGCTCCATTTCTTCTAGTTTCCTTTCTGCCGCAAAACCCATACAAAATTTACCATTTTCACTCCAATTTTCGAATATTTGATAGTAGGTTCAACAGGGCAAGGCCTGGCTTCATGGATTGGAGCAGTAACGGCAACAAGAAAAGCGGAATTAGAACAAAACGTAAATAACTTGGTAAAAGAGGAGTCTGCAGGCAGGAAACGGCACAAGAAAATGTCAAAATCCCAAATTTCGGATGAGAATTTAGGGTTTGGAGAGAGGTCTTTTTCCGCTGCCGGAGCCGCCTTCCTCTCCGCCATCATCGTGAACCCTCTTGATGTTGTCAAGGTTTTTTTATTACTTTTTTTTTTTTTAATATTCAATATATTGAAATTGAAATACACATTTCTTAGATTTTGGCGGTTGTTTATATCTGTAATGCTCATATGCTGTGTTCGTTTAAATTTATATTTTTCGTAAATAAGACATAATTAGTTTTGAAGCTATTATGTCATGTTTGAGATGCTGGACTCGAGAACGGATCGAACATGACTAAAGCGGGGAGAGAAGTTTAACAAAATTTGTTCTTTTCCGTGTTTACTCTTCAATGTGACAAACATGTCGTTAATGTCTGCATCATTTGTGAATTTGTTAGTTTTTGCTTTCGCTGCAAATAATTTAACATTTATCATTTCAAATTTTGCTTTGATATCCTTCTTGTACTTATAGAAATCTTCTTGTGTTTTACTCTTTTTAGTTGGCTTTGATTCTGAACTTCATTTGGTTGGTTACATAGGATTCTTTGCTTGTTATTCCGCTTGAAGCATTGCCATTTTCTTCAGCTTGCTTTCTGCATTGGACATCTGTAGTTTGTTGTTTACTTCTTAATATGATCCATTTGATTCTTTCTCATTGGTTCTTATCTTCATAACGATCAGTGTGTTCTTGTGAACTCATGCAATGATTTGGCATTTGCTTGGAGACTGAGTCACTCACGATGTATATATAAAATATAATTTTATGGAATTATCTTTAAGTTCAAGTGGATTTTCAAACATTGATAGTTTTATATATTAAATATGAGATATCTTATCATCTATTTGATTAATACTTCTGTTTCACTTTGAAGTTTTGGGTTCTTTGTTGATGTCTGGTTTTTTTCCCCAGACTAGATTGCAAGCTCAGGCTGCTGGTGTCCCTTACGATGGTCTATGTCAAACAGCATGCTTCAATACCAATGCGGTACACCAACCATACCAATCTTAGATTTTCCCTTTAATTATGTATATCAAACCATGAAAACAACAAAAGGGACCTGCCAATCACAGGTCTTTTTTTTCTGCACAAGTCTACCTCGCTTTCACTGTAAAATAATGCACCATTATTGATGGCATTCCTCAACATGGATTTCCTTGATGCTTAGTAGTTTGAGACTCTTATAGTCTTGACACTGGAGACTTATGTTTGAAAAATTGCATCACTTACAAGTTCAACTTTTCGTGCTACCTTGTGCTGTCAAATATAGTACAAGTAAAGGATAAAACTTTTACACTACCTCGACTCTTCTGATAGAACATATCAGCATGCTTCATTTACAGTATTTAGGACTTCTTATGACAGCTTTATAACTCATCGTAAGATCTTTGATCATCAGAGTACATGGTGTTTTTCTTTTTCTTAGAGTCAAACTAAAATACCTGCATGGATTTCAGTATATGTCTGTATGGAACTTGTGTTTTCTGATAGTAACTTAAATTCTTGAACTGTATTCAGATGCTGCCAGATATGAAATATGATTCATTATTGAATCATGCAGTCGTTGGAAAGCAACCGAGATGCTCGCCTGATTGTTCCCGTTACAAGGGAACATTGGATGTATTGTACAAAGTTGTAAGCCAGGTTAGTGATGTTCTCATGGAATCATGGAAGCAACATATTCAGTCATATCTCTGTGGAAGGAAAAGAAAATGTAACGTTATTTGTTTGTCGTATAAACATGCATATGAGCAGTATATTGCGATGAATTTCATTAGAAAGATCATGAAAGTATCTTGTCGAAATTGTTTGCCCTTATTGGTGTTGAATCTGGAATTCTTTAAGTTGTAATTACATGAGTTCCTTTATGTTGTTCTCTTTGTGCTATATTTTGCTTCCCATTTAGAGATATCTACGCCATCTCAAGGGAGTCTTAACGGATGCTCTACTGGTCTGTGAATAGTTTAATTGAACTTGGGTATATGATTTATTTGGTGCATGTTTGGCAAAACTTAAATTATAATTTAAGCTAGTCAAACATATATTTAGTAAGACCCACAGTTACTCTCTACTTATTGTCTACACTTTTTGTAAGACCAATTTTTAAGCATTTAAAAGCACTACAAAGCATACATTAAGTACATTATGCATCATATTTGCAAAGCATGCAGATGCACTCTGCTGTGTATTCATTGTTAAATCATTCGTCTAATATCATATGGAATTGTGCAGGAAGGATTTACAAAACTGTGGAGAGGAACTAATGCTAGTTTAGCTCTGGCAATCCCTTCTGTAAGCTTCCCTTTTGGAAGTCAACCAGATTCAAGGGTTTTACATCATGGGAAAATGATTCAATAGACAGTTCTTGATATGAAACAATAACAGCCAAGTAATATTTGCAGGTGGGCATCTATATGCCACTTTATGATATTTTTCGCAACCACATGGAAGTTCTTACTAGGCAAGATTTCCCGAACTTGACACCATATGTTCCCCTAGTTGCTGGCTCGTTAGCACGCTCAATAGCTTGTGTCACTTGTTACCCTATTGAGCTTGCAAGAACGCGCATGCAGGTATGTTCATGTTTCATGATATAATTTTAGGCCAGGTATGCTCATGTTTCATGATATAATTTTAGGCTAGGGTTACGTTATTGCAGAGTGTTCCATGATCTTCATCTTATGCTATTCCTCAATGACAATTAATTGATATCACTATCATCATTATTTTCTTATTCAAATTACAAGCAAGTTCATGCTTACCATAACTTCACCTATCTTTGATATCGTAACCAAGTTCATTGCTTCCCCTCGTGTGTTTCTGTAGAACACACTGTTCTGGCACTATTTATTCTTTGCTTAATCAGTCTCCTATCAATCTTTTGTTATAGGCGTTCAAACATAGCCAAGCTGGTGTGAAGCCCCCAGGTGTTTGGAATACTTTGAACGGAGTTGTCTCACCCATGCAGAATGCAAATAATCATCAATCTTGTATGACTCGAAATTTTATATTTATGCTTTATGTATTGCTTTCATGGTCTTTTGTAGCAAATTATGAAAGGGCATTAAAACTTAGCATCAAAGATGTAATTTCATGTGTCTAATATCTAGTTTAGCAGGCGCAAAAATAGCTATTTTCTCATATGTTCTTGCTTGTCATTCTGAGTTTATGAGAGCAATACAATAACCTTTGAAGTGAAATTCCAATCACATAGCTAGACTATGGATAATTTTGTTTCTGTTACAATGATAATTCTTATTCTTTGTAGGCATATAATTGACACAGCTAACAAAATTCACTAGCTGTCTTCGTTAGAGAATATTTAGTTTAAAATTTTCCTTTTTGGACAAATGTGCTCTTCTGGTTAAATTTTCACATCCAGAAACATTTTTGTAGTGCAACTGTTCTTTTGTCTGCTTCTTAGATTTTAAGTCTGTTGTTTGATGTTTTGACTACACTTTGTCATTGCATTCATCTGCACAATGATTGGGGTGATGTAATTGGGAAGTAATTCCAATTTGTAGTAGTACAAAGATACCGCATCTTATGGACTGGCCTTGGAGCACAACTTGCCCGTGATGTTCCTTTCTCTGCTATTTGCTGGTCATCTCTTGAGCCGGTGAGATAGCTTATTTTGTACAGTCTTTTGCTCAAATAGATTTAGATTTTAGGATATATTACTCGCTACTTTTCTGCAGCTCAGAAGACGAATTTTGAGCAGGATAGGAGACGAAGCTAGTGTGTCCAGCGTCCTTGGAGCAAACTTTTGTGCTGGTGTTGTAGCAGGAAGTCTTGCAGCTGCTGCCACGTGCCCTTTTGATGTTGCAAGGACCCGGCGGCAGATTGAGGTTGTTTTTCGCTATTATTTGATTAAAATTAGCATTGTTTATGAATCGAAAACTAAACACTACAGAGGAAGAGTGATATTTCTAAGAGAGCTTTGATTAAACATTCAATTGAGTATCTCTTGCTATGTAGCAATAACTGGCTAAACACAAGGATAGTTACACGTAGATGGGTCTGGTTCCGGATGAGTAGTCTTTGCTCGAGAAGAGAGTGTCTACAACCTAAATGGTTTGTGTCACTAAATTATTGAACCCATTCATATGTTTTATGGATAGGGGCATGGTTCAACAAATGTAGGAGAGACACAGTTCCTTATTGTGCCTTAAGATTTGTGAATATATCCTTCTTGGCATAAATAAAGTTGCGGGAATGAACATGTGTGCATATTTGGTGCTCTAACTTTGTCATACCCAGGCCGGAGCCGGTTGGATGCATTAGTACCATCCAAATTCCTATATGCAACCTTGCCGCATGTTGCAGATGTGGCCCCCTGGTTATAAATTTGTCACATTCTGCTTGTAAATCCGACCTGGGATCAAATCTGGGTTACTACATATTCTGCTGCTGCTCCTGTCCCAAAAACTGTGAAATTTTGGTCATCTATATAATAAATCCTCGTTTTTCTCTGCTATTTGATAATTATTGCATCAGAAAGATCTGAGATTTACATTGCTGAGTTAATGGTTTATATTTTTTATTTTTAGAAAGACCGCATGCGGGCATTGACAATGACCACGAGACAAACATTGATTGAGATCTGGAGGTGTGCATCTTTCTGCTTTTGCACCTCTGCTTATGTAAATCTATGATTGTCATTGTGTTTATTCGCTTGGCCGGATAATTTAGATACTAGACCTATCCACGACTATCAAAGCGTATATAGTGACTATCCTCTAAGAAAATGCCATGTGGAGGAACATTTCGTCTTCCACCCTTCGTATGCAGTTCAATCTAGGTGTCTTTGCAATGTAGATAAGGGTGGTTGGCACAAGGACCTTACTTCCATTCTTATGATTGATTTTGTAGTGGAAATTGGAGCTCAGATATCCATAGAATGGGTTTAGGGATTAGTTAACTGGGACGATGTGTAATCGGAACACCTTGATGAAGAAAATTTACTAGTTTCATTATGATTAACCCTTCAAATATACAAGTTCTCTGTTGAGCCCGGGCATTTCTAAAGAGTTACTGAACTAATTCTTGACTTTGTGAATCAGGGATGGTGGTTTGAAGGGACTATTTACTGGACTAGGTCCACGAGTTTCTCGAGCCGGTCCTTCGGTCGGGATTGTGGTTTCCTTTTATGAGGTTGTCAAATATTCATTGCAGTACAGAAAATCAAAGGTGTAAAGTAGAGATTCTCTCTTATACACTATGAAAATTCTCTTTCCAGGTCTGTTGGCATAAGTAGGGAACTTGGAGAAAAAAATTAAAAAAGTGCAATAGAATAATAAAAGAGCAAATGTACAGGTTTGCTGTTACATTTATTTGGAGGATAAAGTATGTTTATAATGATTTTTGGTTTAAAGAGACTGACTTTGGACAAAATTCTTTTTAGGCAGTTCTTTAGAGTTTGTGAGAAGAGAAACAACTAAATTTTGAAAAAATTGTTTGGAATCGTGATGGAAAAGTAGTACGTTTTTTATTTTGTTTTTAATAATTTGTCATGTGAAGATGCATGTAGATGGAAAGTAGAGTAATTGGCCGATGCTTTTGAGGCTGATAACTGGGTAAATTTTATTCGCGTTAATTATAATTTTACTTGAATCAAGGTAATTGTACTTTAATTTTATTCAATCGAATAACCACAATTTGATTGTATTTAAGGCAATCTTCATCAATTTCACTTATGAAATTGATGAAGTGACAATTAATAAAAATGTTGATGATCACATAAATCCATTAGTTGTTGACGTGGAATACGTACAATTTTAAAAAAAAAAAAAATGCATTAGAATAATTAAACAGCGAAAGTGCAGGTTTGCTCTTTTCTGGTACATTTATTTAGAGGATAAATAATTAAATTTTGTTTAGAGGGTCTGACTTTGGACAAATTATTCTTGTCTTTGGGTAGTTCTTCACAATTTTTGAGAAGGATCCTGAGTTGATTAATGAGAAATTTGTTTGGAAATGTGATGGAAAGATCGTGTATTTTTTCCGCTAATTATTTAGTTGATCATTATAAAAATTATCACAGACAGCTGGAAAGCTAGTTATAACTAGGTAATTTCGCACGAACTGCAATTTAATGCTAACTAGCTACTTATATACTTTGTATCTCCAATTTTATTTATCATTAATTGTACGCTTGACACACTATCTATGATAACTAGGGTCATCGAGCCGTCCCATCAATATTTATACAATGTTTTTAACCGGTTATTTTGTTTAATTTTTAATAGTCATTAGATGTCACATCAAATGTACGGCACAAAAGATCCAAATCCCCGTCTCACCCTGTTAAGGACATATATAAAAGTTTGGACTACTATTTTTAACAAAGTTTAAGCACCGTTTAATTGCACGAAATTTTCCGTGAAACTTGGAATTCGAATTTCAACTTTCACTTTTGGTCTGTTTGATTGACAAAATTTTTTAGGGAATTGATTTTTCATAAATTTTTAGGTATAACACCGTAAAGCGTGATTTTCCACCTTTTATTTTTCTAAGGATAGGTGATTTTTGGCTTTTCACCCCTTTTTTTTTTTTAATTGTTGATAATGGGAACAAATTTTAGAAACAATTGTAAAAGAGAATATTCCTGAAATTGACAACTTTCATGTAAAACAAAACCAAACGAACATCAAAATATAGAAGATTTTTTTTATCTTTTTTTCCCCCCTTTTTTTGTTGGCAATGGAAACAAATTCTATGAACAATGGTAGAAATGGATATCCTTTAAATTGACAATTTTCATGTAAAACAAAGTCAAATGAACACTAAAAAATACTTTTACTTCAACATTTTTCACATGGAAAATTATACCAATCAAATACAGTAATTTACAATTCTCAGGAAAACAATTTCTAGGTAATCCAATTATCTGTAATTCATTTTCTTTCTATCCAAATTTCATCTTCACAATCAAACAAACCCTTACATTTTTAAAATGGAACATGAGGGAATTGATATCATCGTAGCCTAAAAAACTCGAACAAGCAATCAATTCGTCTAAAGTTCAAATGGATGAACCAAAAATAGTTTTCACGTCAAGGATAAAATTTCGCATTAATAAAATACGAAATAAAATTCAACATATTAGAGCTTCGACTGGTCTCACAATAGAATCTTTTAACTTAGTATTCACGTAACATTCTAATCATCTTATCATTAGCTTAATAATATGGAGATCATTCTTCCCTACACGATCTCCAAATTCACATAAGAAACTAACAACGAAAAGCAAATCAAAGCCATTGATGAAAATAAGCACTTCTGTATTTTTACATTCCATTTTTCAGCAAGTCCACAAGAAAGCTCCCATGGCAAACTTCCTCTTCTGGTTCACATCTCCAGGGACGGACAACCCATATTCGGTGAGGAGGCAGTCGAGTTTCCACTCCGGCATGGCCTCATATTCGACTCGAGTGTACTTGGGGTAGTGTAATGGCATTTGAAACCCACACCGCTCCCTCGTGAGATGGCTGTTGGCGGCGCCACCATCTCCAACATTAGTAGATGGCCTTGCAATGGACTCCATTTCCCCTCCGCTCATTATCTTCGTTACACTCTTTTTTCTTATAAATTGTAACTGCTAGTATTTGTTACGATATGTTACGACTCTTCATGCTATTTATAGCCCCACACCCACCCTTTACGTATACATATAGTATATTTATATATATAGATATAGAAGTAGCACTGTCAAGGTAGGTGAGAATTTATGTTGAAAACTAAAAAAGTTGTTCGATATGATTTATAGTGGTTGTTATAATCTGGACCCGACCTAAAACCATTTTGTTAAAAACGGAATAACTTTGATACCAATTTGTTGAGAATCAGGAAAAAATTAAAGAACAAGAAAATATGGGTATTATGAAAATAATGGATCACAAAGAAAACAATATTTATGTTTGAACCCAAATCCGAAAAAAACCAAGGGCAAAAGCAGATAATTCACTATACTCAATAGTAAGAAATTACAAAGGATCTCTTTGGATCAATAATTAATTAGACAATTGATCAATTCCAATATGTATTGTCCAACACATATTTATAACCAAAGAATTCCTAACATACTAGGAAAATTACTATATGAAGAGTTTAATAAAAAATGAAGTCCAACATAATTGGTAAAACCAATAATTGAGAATTTAGGATGAAATAGAAGTAAAAAAATTGTCAAAAGGAGGAATCACTCTCATTGTCCTTCTTGAAATCCTTCAAAACTTCTTCAAGTCTATTACCAACTCCTAATACTTTTCCAACAGTATTTCCAATCAAAATATTCATTAGAATTCGAGTCACAATCTAATTCTAATAAGCTCCACCTTGTCGCAAATTCTACTACAAGGAATAAAACTTAACTCTTCACTAAACTCTAAAAAATAATTCTTTAAGTAAAATACTCCAAACAAATTACTTCGTTTCTTTCACCATGCCCCGCCAGACATACTTAGCAACTATGAACTAAATTCAAACCATACTTACCATCAAAACTACTTTGCGCGCCAACCTTGCTTGAATCATCCCGTTCACTTTCAGCTTCAATCGAGTCACCAAAACTACTCGAATCACCGAACACTTCCAACTCTAACTGAGCTGTCAAACCTGCTCAAATCACCATGAGCAATATAATCAACAAAATCACAACTAGCTCCACTTGAGCTACTGGAAAATTTCCCAATATTATTGTTAGAATCACCACGAACAACCTTCACAACCGACTCCACTCAAGTAACAGCTTATCAAACCATAAGCTACAGCAACAGCAACAGCATCATTCACAGTAACCTTTGAACCTTCTAACACATAAAATTGGGACTTTCTCTGCCCCCTTTAGGCACTCTTGCTAACTTTTAGAACTTCTCCTCCACCAATATACCTGTACCCTTTTGAATCAAAAGTATTTAAAGAGATTAAATTCTTGTTTATACTTGAAACATGTCAAACCTGACCAAGTGTCCCAACCGTTACATCAAACATCTTGATTTTGACATTACCAATCCTAACTATTTTACAAGGCTCATTATTTCTCATCATTACGAAACCCCCTATAATTATTCCATATGAAGAAAACCAATCTCGATTTGGACACATATGAAAAGTGCAAATTGAATTAAGAATCCAATCCTCGTTAGGTTTGGGACTTTCTCCGTCCCCTTAACACAACTCAGGCACCCTTGCTAACTTTCAGAACTTCTCCCCCACCGATATACATGTACCCTTTTGAATCAAGAGTATTTAAAGAGATTAAATTCTTGTTTATACTTGAAACATGTCAAACCTGACCAAGTGTCCTAACCATCACATCAAACATCTTGATTTTGACATTACCAATCCTAACTATTTTACAGGGCTCATTATTTCTTATCATTATAGAACCCCTTGTAATTATTCCATATGAAGAAAACAAATCTCGATTTGGACACGTATGAAAAGTGCAAGCTGAATTAAGAATCCAATCCTCATCAGGTTTGGAGTCACCATCAGTAATTGCTTAAAGATTTCCATCACTACAATCTTCTTCTATAAAACTGGCATCATCGAAATTTCAAGGTTGCCCCTTCTGATCTATAGTAGCAAACATGTTCCACCACTTATAGCAATCCCTCTTCATGCGCCCATTAGTGTTGCAATACCAATAGACTATATTACTGTTACTATTCTTGACTCTGCCCATTCTATGACCACTTGTCACCCTCTCACCAATAGCAAGACACTCTGCTTGAGCCTCATATCTGATGACCAAATGCTTCATCTTTTCCTTGGAATAAAGCGCATCATATGCCTCATCAATAGTAAGAGTATCCCGACTATAGAGAATGATATCTCTAAAAGTCACATATGAAGACGATAATGAACGTAACAATATCAGCCCTAAATCCTCTTCATCATGCTTGACGTCCATGGTCTCCAAGTCAACGATTATTTCCTTGAACATCGATAGATGATCTTCCAGAGATCCACCTTCCGTCAAGCGATGAGAATACAACTGTTGCCTCAAGTGTAACTTACTTGTAAGGCTCTTTGTCGTACAAAGCTGGTCCAATCTTAACCACAACGTAGCGACACTATTCTTCTTTACTACGTCCTATAGAATTTGATTAGAAAGACGAAGATGAATCTGTGATAGGGGCTTTCGATCATTTGATTGCTTTTCCTCCATAGTCATTGTTGCCAGCACTCTATCTGTCCCCAAAAAAGCATCATCTAGATTCAATTGAACAAGAATCTCTCACATCTTCATCTGCCATAAAGAGAATCTTTTGTTGCGATTCAAAAGAGAAATCTCAAATTTTCCATCCCTAAAACAATTGACTTTGTTTCAACCTCGCTTTAATATCCAATTTGGACCTCCCAATAACTCGCACAAAAAAAATAAAAAAAATAAAACTCCTTTAGTTATGATACCACTTATTAAAGTATGGACTAGACCTAAAATCACTTTGTTAAAATCGAAATAGCTCTGATACCAAATTGTTGAGAATTTGGCCAAATAATTAAAGAACGAGAAAATATGAACAATATGAAAATAATGAATCACAAAGAAAACAAGATTTATGTGGAAACCCAAATTCGAGAAAACTATGGGTATTGGCAGATAATTCACTATAATCAATTGCAAGAAATTACAAATGATCTCTTTAGACCAATAACTAATTGGACAATTGGTCAATTCTAATATGTGTTGTACGCTACATATTTATCATCAAAGAATTCCTAACACACTAGGAGAATTAATACACGAAGAGTTTAATATAAAGTAAAATCCCAATATAACAGGTAAAACCTATAATGGAGAATTTGGGATGAAATAAGAGTCAAAAAACTGTCGAAAAGAGAAATCATTCTCATTGTCCTTCTTGAACTCATTCAAGACTTCTTCAATTCTATTACCAACTCCTAATACTCCTCCAACAATATTTCCAATCAAAATACTCATTAGAATTCGAGTCACAATCTAATTTTAATAGTGGTGAAAAATTTTATGCAAGAACTTTAGAATGCCTTGAAAAGTTGTATGCATGTATGGGGTCATGGGAGGGAATATAAACGCTAAAACAAATACAAATCCAAGATGCTGTCACAAACTTTTTTACTATCCATGCTGAAGTTGTTAGATACAAGGAAAATTGTATATATTTATATATGATTCTTCGACATCTCCAATTCCCATCATATTTGGCTTCATCACGTGAAATTATAATAATTGAGTGATGGTGAGACTTAAAATATCTTTATACTTAGATATCATGTCGATGAGAACGAGAAGAATGCATTGTGAATGCGTAGAATATTCACTTGTTCAGGTTAACAAGTTTGACCTTAACTCATGCTAACAAGTGGGCATCCCCCAAATTAAAAAAAGACGATGACCAATTTAACCGAATTTCTATGTCCAAAAATGACAATATTGTAAGACTAGGAAAAGAGAGCTATTGCAAGTTGCAACCTTTAATAATACATTTCATGTTGGACTGAATATAATTATGAAGAAACCTTCATAATTAATTAATTTATTTATTTATTTATTTTTTTTCGAATTTATCCTACTCCGCATACTAAACATGCCGAAAAAGACTTCAATCTTGTTGCATTAACAAATGAATTCCACCCTTTTGATCAACAACAAGTGAAATAAAATTGCTGATATATTTGTAACAACAAATTAAGGTTTATTAATTTTCGATGAATTTGGAGTACATTATGTTCTATCGTCTAGACCTACTGAAAAATCTTAACATAATCAATTAGATGTTTCGAAAATGCCCACTTATCACGTTAATCAATATACCCGTGACAAATTCCCAATCACCAACCAAAAAAATATACAATTGATTTGAAGTTGAAAGGTATTTTACAGTATCAATTTGCTATAAACATTCAATGCAACAATAAATAGGTGTTCTCATCTCATTGCATATATTGTCCAGAATCTATTTAATTATCAAACAATATATGGAATAAAAATTATCTCAATAATCATGTCTGAATGAACCACAAATTTTGAGGCCCTTCAATAATTTAGCTGAATAACTAGTGATGGAGGATGGTTAGTACTTGGAAAAATATTACAGACCACCATTATTGTCGGCCAAGGTTGCCTAGATCCCAAGGAATTTTGTTAGTTTTTCAATTTTCGTGTAGCATGTTTGGTAGGAAATATTAGATGGTACTGTACAATACTAATACATTATGTGTCAAATTGTATACCAAACGTACGCTTATGATACTTGAGACAGAATCATTGGATTAGATATTTCTAAGCATAGGATTAAGATCAGTTCGTCCAAACCACATCACAAATTTTATCATGCTAACTACAATTACAACTAATGTGTTCGTGGTTTTTATTATGATAATAATAGATTCCTATCTTAGCCCTTGTTTGATGACCATTATAAAGAAAAATTGGGGAAAATGATGTCATGAATATTGTTTTTTTTGAAGAATATATGATTAAAAAGTATTAAAAAAAATTGAGTTTATGTAAAAAAAAATTTTATTGTGTGAATATGCGGTTGAAAATGAGTATGAAAGATAAAATGTTTTGAAATAGAGAAATTCAAATAAGGCCTTAATTAGATCGGTGCTTTATCTCTGAAAATAAGGTGATCCAACCACACATTCCTATACGTTTACCTTATTACGGTTTCACTCCAATCACTAGACTGTATTCGATAGGTATTCCCGTCTACTACCAACTAGATCTAGTCTAGTCATTGGTAGCTAACATCGATTTTTGATTATTTTAGGTACCGCACAAACATTAACAAGAAACTTTTTTTCTTCATTATCAATCGAATGACCTTCCATAGTCCAAGATTATTAACATCAATTTAATCCGAGATTTTGTTTCTATTTTGTTATTTTGATCTCAATTTAGGGTCGAAATTCAACTCGTCTAAAGCTCATACAATATTTTCTTCATAATTTCAAAGGAGTTAAGACTTGTTCAAGTTTCATGTATGATTGGGGGCCAAATGTTACTATCACAATGCTTTGATTGAGAAGGGCTCATTTATGTATGCCCTGCTTACAAGGGCACCTGTCAGTGAACTAGTTTTCTATGGAATTAAAGTTGAAAAGGAGTGTGTGAGAATTAACTATTAGGATATACAGTTTGAAATACTAAATTTAGTTATAGAATTCAACTTAGAAACTGAACAAACATGCTACTACACTACATTGAATTTTCGCCTTGCTTAGCGTTCAAACAAAATTCTATACTAGCTTCTCTTAGAATCCCTTCGATTTTTAATTTCACTATTCCTACATAGTGCGATTATCAATCTACGCATTTCAATACATCACAGAAGGTCGTCGTAAATTTTCCTAGGAAACGTAGACATACCAAGAAATTGCTTACTTTTCTTGAAGAGACTCGAGAATCTGTTCTTCAACCAACAGAAATCTTGATTGAACTATTAGTGCTGCTTTTGATGTCAATGGCATATCCACAACCACGCAAGGAGAGGCAAAATACGTAGGCAGCGGCATCATGCAGAGAATATTTCCCAAAAAGGGCTGCATATTAAATGAGAATTAATAAACAAGGAACACTTAATTCATCTACAAACGAAAACCAATTCATAAGCTGTATCCTTTTACAATTACTCCTAGTCTAATTTGCAAAATGATATTTACCACGAGAACTTGGATAGATGGGTCCATAAAAAGTTGGGAAAGGTAAAACTGTCATTTCTTAGGAGCACATTTGACTAAACCTGAGAAGGCTCATTAATGCCTGAGATAAGGATTATCTTGTTTGCAAAGGGCACCAGTGCGAGAATTTGCTGTTTTCTATGCTTAAATTTGAAAGAAGTGGGTATGACAGGAATCTTGTCACAAAAGTTCATTTCCAAGAATGATGTTACATGCTCGAAACCTTCTAGCTAGTAATACAAAGCGGGCTGCTATGAGCCTGGCATGGCAGCATTGTTCTGCAGGTCAAATTTTCCATTTTTTTTATTTTTTTTACTGAAATGAAAAACACAAAAACATTAAAAAATGCTTGCACGAAGCATGGGTTGGAGGATCAGATTTGCCTTTCCAGATAGGGTGGGCCAAACACAGGGACGCCCAGATTCACTCCTCTGGTCCTACCTCTGTAGACTATTTGGTTTTCTCTTCATAAATGTAAGTGTTAAGCGTTAACTGTCCGTGTCACTCATCAGCAAAATGTTGCCAATGCAGTGCATTATTGGTACATAGTAGTGACTAGTTGAATCCTTCTTGGCAAGATTTTAGCTTTTATTACTTCTTAATATTGTCCTCTACTAGTCTACTATCCAATCCTCCCAACCATTCATGTCATACTAATTGATCATTTCCATTCGCCAGTGAAGAGTACATTCAAGAAATATCTTATTTGCATAATTATCCTTTGCTTGTCAGATTAGTTGAGTCAAAAAAAATAATAAGACCATGCTTTTGTAAGTTTAAAGAATTGATTCTTAAAGAAACTGAAATAACATTTTGCGGCAATGAACACTTCAGTTGTGTTCAAATAATTTTCTAACCTAGCTTCTCTCAGAATTCTTAAGTTAATTTCAAATCTAAACATGCCAATGCATCATAGAAACTGAAATTATTTTTCCTAATGAAACATAGACGTACCGAGAAATTGTTTGCTTTCATGAAGATGCTCGAGAATCTGTTTTTCGATCAACAGAAACCTCGACAGTGCTTTCCGGAGCTGCTTTAATTGTCAAGGGCAAATCCACAAGTGTGGTTGGAGGGGCAAAATACATATGCAGTGACATCATGCAGACAATAATTCCCAAAAAGAGCTGCAGATTAAACAATGAACGCTTGATTCATCAACATGAGATAACCAATGCATAAGCTCAAGCCATTTATAAAAACTTGGAGTCTAATTTGCCTCAACATCATTTATCATGGGGACTTGGATATGTATCGTCTATAAGAACTCGGGAAAGGTTAACTGTCAGTAGGAGAAAGATTAATAGCATCAATGATGATGAGAGGAAGACATGCATGCATGAAAAATAAAATAAAAATTGGGCTTTGATCCTATACATTTTATTATATATAGGATATATTAATGTAGTAAAACATATGGGTGGGCGGTAAAAAATGATCTAATCAAGATTTAAAAGTGCTTTGAGCTTTATAATATGTGCAGGAGAAGATTCTAAAAAGGCTACCTGCACTGTTGGCTTGAAATCGAAAAGGAACACAGATAATACCATTGTCAGTAACATTGCCATGGATGTGGAGTATACCTGTAAAAAAGAAAAAAGCATCATCCAAAAAGGTATTGAAATAACAAGACAAAACCAAGCAATTAAGCACATAATAGCATGTTAATTTGAAACAACTCAAGAGAGGTGAACTGCTTCTACAAATAAAGAAAGAAGTAAGAGATACCTTTACAATATTGTCTGCATATTTCATTAACCATGATACTAAAAGCCCTGTCGACCCCAGATTTAACACTACCATCCAAGTAGTGATACTGTATCCATAAAAAAGGCGTTGCCACCATAGTCCTTTATCAAACCCACTTCTAAAATCATCAAAGACAAGCCTTGCAAGGTTGAATATAGCACCAAATCTGAAAGTAAGAATGTGCTACTAGGCATCAATAGTCCCATATCATTTACAGACCTCTAATCGAAGTAAAATGTTTTAGTAATGACAACTGAGACATTTTGATGCCAACAGAAGCGGCTTTACAGTTTAGATAATTTTTTTTGCTCCAGATTGTTCTTATTGTTCCAATTCCTTTGAACCTACAAGATTGACTTCTTTGAATCCGGATTAGTTCTAATGACTCCCACATATGTTCCTCCCCAAGTCAGGTATTTATGATTTCAGCAGTAATAAAAGCAACTGTTGCTTATAGAAACTACCTTGCAGAGATCTCTAGAGTAAACTGCAATGATGCTGTTTTGTAAAGAAGGCGTTCATTAAGAACCCCAAAGCTTATTCGTCAAGAGGCATTAGTGAAGGCTTAGGCCTTGACTTTCCAGGGTACACAGCTCAAGGTCTGATTAAAGTTTGCTCTTTCTAGCATCATCATTTTTGGAATTTTTTTAAACCAACATGTGGGCTGGGTTCTTATAGCCTGCAGCATTTCAAGGGATTCTTTAGGCTGTTTTAAACACAGCTTAACTCCAAAACTAGGGGAAAAAAGGGAAATGAAGAATAGAGAAGACAATAAATGAATAGCTAGGACTGCCGTAGCCTTGCTGTTGCAATTTTTGGCAACAGCCGGGCAGATGTGACTGACGTATGAGATATTACTAAATTTAGAGTACTCAAACTGTCAAGATTTTCATTGGCATAAAGATGTTTTCCTAAGTAAGTTTTTCCAAGGATCGATATTTAACATGATTATGGAATGTCTGTCCAAAAGTTTAGCTGAAAAAGTTAGGCAACAAAAATAGTGGTTGTTATTAAGAGGAATCAATTTTTTTGTCTTCTATATTTTTCCCTGTGTAGGCTTTATTTTCTATTAAAGTTAAAGCAAACTGTATTGTAAAGTAGTTGGTCAGTTGTTTCATTTGTTTTAGCCTTTTAGTTCTCATTGTGGAATAGTAATCTTGTTATATAATTATAATTTACTACTTGCTACATTGCTAATCCATTTTATGGTTTTAATTGCAATTGAGACTTCTAATCTCTATAACACGAACACTTCAAGTAGGGTAGCATGTCCAAGTCTAACACGTGTCGAAAACTTGTCCGAGTCTGACACGTTTCGAAAGCACGTCCAAGTCTGACACGTGTCGAAAACATGACACTCCTTGAACACTCTTTCGTGGTTAATTTTTTTTGTTTATCAAAAATATATATATGTGTTTAACTCAAAATTATTATTAAATAACAAATCGGTACTCATATTTGTGAGTTTTCGACAAGAAAGATTAATAACAGGTATAAAACCAAATTTATACTATATAAATGAAGAATTTTAAAAAAATTTAATTAACGTGTCATGTCAGTACTTTTTTGAAAAATCACGTGTCAGAGTGTTGCCAAGTTTCATGTCGGACACACGTGTCAGTGTCGGTGTTTCACAACTTTAAATTTTATTCACACATTTATTATGTTACTTTTTAATGATTTATGGTTTATTGATTTATTATGAGTGCAATTCTATATTTTTTATGATTTTTAATCCTTTTACAGGTTTACATTGAGACGTGCCTTAAAACAGATTTAGAATTCTCAAGCACTGATTATGAGTGTGCAAAACAGCATAGCAACTTGATGTAAGTTCTGGAATTGTGCTTGATCAGAGAAAAATACTCACGTGTATAATTGAACATTCTGCCAGTATAAGCTATCATTGTTCTTCTTCATCAAGAATTCTGTATAAACACCTGCGAGGGCAGAAAGACATGCAGACAACATGCCCAACATGTATCCCTGAATTGGTGATGAAAAGAGCGAGTCGCAAGAAGATTCTCCACAGCCTTTCACCTATGCAAACATAAGATAGGAGTGCTTAAAGCTATGAACACTTCCATGGTGATTTATGCATAGAAGAGAGAATTTCAATTGACAAGCCACCCATCATAATCAAGAGTTGTCATCCTACATGTCAAAGTTCGAAATTGACAACTTGTTATGAGGTGCATAACTGCATATAACTAAATCCATTACTAACCCACAATATGATTATAATTTGCCTGCAATATACTAGTAACATATTTAGAAAGCCAAACATCCTGGTATAATAAAACAATGGCAATCACTTTAGTCTTCTCACTTCTACAAACCAGTGGCAATTAAAATTGACAAACTTAATGATGGCAAATTGGACAACTTTTAAAAATTAAAGACTTGTTAGGAGAGAAATTCTGTAGTTATTAAAATAGGTTTGATTTGACTTATACCCTTTCCTTAATTAATTGGATCAAGATAGGACATTCTCTCTCTTAAAGTTACGTAGATTTCCACTTTTACAACAGATTTTAAGCATCAGTAGGACAAGAGGTTTTCAATTACAAAGACTATTGATTTTTTTATATATTTATAAATTATTGATATTGATTATAAATATGATTGATATTTCTAATTCTTCTCTCTTCCCTCTCCATTCTTCTCTTTCTTTGCCATATTCTTGTATCCTACATAGAGTGATGCATCTGTTTTGCCCCATTTTCATTTTCTATCCCCAAACTCATTTACAACCACACATTCTCCCAATAAAATAATTTTGGGCATGGACCCATAAATTTTCCCAAACTTTTTAACCAATGTTCTCCTAAATAATCACTTTTCACAAAATCTATTATCAAAAAATCTCTACAAAACACACGATTTTATAAGGGCTTCAGATTAACACTTTAGTGTTTTAAGAAGTCATTCCCAATTAAAAGTAATGTGTTACATGGTTAAAAATGCAGCATGAGAACAAAAGAGAGTAGCAGAAACAATTCAAGAAGCACCTGGCTCGTGGTGGTTCCAACAGCCAATAGAACAATAGCCATCCACTGCAAATTAGAGAGCTTCCTTTTCAAAAACAACCTAAACAAGGATACAAGTATATCTCACTAGATATGAAGATTGAGCAATAGTTATAATTCCAACGAGTAAAGTTCGAGTTTAAAAAGAATGAACTGCAGAACCAGAAGAACGATTGAGAAGAAAAATGCTCAACCTGAATAATAATGCCGTCGTAACAATTTTCAAGTTTCCCATAATCTGATATGTCGATGTATCTACATACGTCAATGTAGCAAACTGAACATTGTTGTGAATGAGATATATGATTGATGGGATTGGGTACAAACGAACACTCTTCCATTCCGTGGTCATTTTAGGAGGAGGTGATCTCTTGCATTCTCTCCATAATAGAATAGCAGAAACAATAAGCTGCATTCAATGGAACTCATCAACACCAAATCCGTCCCAATAATATCTATACCAACAAGACTTACAGAGCCAAAGTTCTGTTTTCAAATGGACAGTTTCACACATTGCGGAAAATAAACATAATGTTTCCACAAGAATGAAACTTTAAATCCAAATTTCAATTTCAGAATTATTCCCAATGAGATTTCTTTCCCCTCTACTATTCAGTACTATCAACTAAGTGCAAAACCTAAAAAATGCAATCAATAAATGAAAATAATTAAACAAAATTTAAAATAGAATAAATAGATTAACCTTAAAAACTTCAGCAAGAAAAGGCACAGTGGCATAGTCATATTTGTATCCCCCATTACTCTGTGACAATGTCGTCAATATTCCCTGCAAAAACACAGCAAATTTAAACACCCATTTACTCCCAAGATCACACGTAGACACACGAACGGAAACCCATTTATACGGATCAGATTCACATATAAGCTAGTAATCAACTCAAAAGAAAAGGACCTGAGAGCTTGTAAGAATGGTGAGCAGCGAAGCGACGACGTACCACTGCATCTTCTCCTTCCTTGCTCTCCCTTCTACTGTAACAATTACAACAGAGTAGTTTCTTGATCTTCAGCGATTTTCGGTTGTGCCTAATATTTTGGTTATTCGATTTACACCCCAATTCTTTTGGGTATTTACTATTTTTTAGTAATGGATTAAAAACTCTGTGGTCATATAACTTTTAAGATGTACCATTTTAGTCATTAAACCTTTTTTTATGCATAAAAGATATACAAAATTGTTTTAAGGTTGTCACTAACTATCTATTCGCTAGTCGATTTAACAATTATAGTGACATGTTCGACAGCGTTTAAAATGGGCAACTTTGGTCGTTACACTGTCATTGTACATAAAACGCGTTGAACTTACAAAGTTTTCATTTAATATGGTGATATATAAGAAACTTGCTCGACAAATAGAAATAACATAGTAAAAAAATCTGTCAAATCGATATCCACCTAGAATAATTTTCAAAATATTTAATTGGGTACGATAAATTCAAAAACGCATGTGAAACAGACATTATCTAACTTATTAATATCATCCGATCAAGTCCGTAAGTCGAGTAAGTATTAAGTAACACTATTAATGCTTTGTATAATCATGCTTAGAAGTTGATTTTTGAAAAAGTAAATAAGCAAGAGTCACAATTATTACATAGCACCCACAATTTGTTTATTTGAAACCACGAAAAATAGTGGATCCTGATACTTATAAACAACCATGTCCTTTGACACTAACTAAACTTTAAAATCACTAATGGACACTTGAGGAGTGACTAAAGTGGAACAATTCACTTCCAAAGATGATAGCATCAATAGAATTTCAGTAAGTAGGCTAATAACGAAGCGCCTTTCCAAGGATTAAAACTGCCATCCCAATTTTCAAAAAAAAAAAAAAAAAAAAGTTCCTTATACAAGAATCTCGTATTTGAGTCTGACTTTTCGACGGGTGATTCATACTAAACATCTCTTTATTTTGTCAATAGTTCAACAAAATTTCTAGTAGTCCTGGACAGGTACTTGATTGCCACGGTGCCCACAGGTTTGGCCATCTATCATCCGCTATCAGTGTTTACTCCAAATACTTAAGCAACATTGAGTCGAAACAGCAGCGTAGACATGGAAGGAGATACCAAGTACGAGCCAGAGGCGACTTCAAATCAAGAAATGATTGGCAATGAGAATGTAATAGTCGAGCACTCTATTTCATACTCACACCTGTAATTAAAAACAAAGACACTCATCATCATAAAAGAATTCATCAGATGTTGAAGCCAACAAGCATCACATATTGTCAATCAGTTTTGTGATGGGGAAATACAAGCCAGTTAATTAAAAAATTGTTTACGAAATTATGAACTTCATACATTGATTCATCAGTTCTGTGCATTCTAGTTGATTTCCATGTGCTCTGAATTTTGATAGCCTCCTAGAAGAGGTCGAGGCATATTTATTAGGAGATTGCTTTTCTAAAGCATTGTTCTGTTATTTTCTAAGAACCGATGCATAAGCGTATGGGAGCTGCACAGCTGCAGATCAAGTAAAGACATGACTACTGCATAAAAAAGGTGAAGACATTACTGTAGTCACAAAGAACACAACTCCATAGTGTGACTTCACTATGGAGCAGACAAGTCCCAGAAGTTTAAATTTAAACATAAATAGCAAGGGACGGAACAGTTTTCTTTATTCCCTCGACTAAACAGCAAGGGAAGGTATGTACTTCGTACTAAAATAATCACTTACAAGGGGTCGAGGAATAAGTTTCGAGGAAGTCATGAAGTTGATGAATCATTTATCCACAGATGCAGCAAACCTGATGACTCCCAATAGCTGATAAGAACTTTGTGATCATACCCAGTAGAGAAATACAGAAGAAAGAAAGCATCCCGATTGGAATATGACTAATTCCACTTAAAAAAAGAGTTCAGAGGCTAACATAAAGAAGAATTTGACTTTCCACGGGCTTCCCAGACCCAGATTCGCAAGCAAGAATAGTCTTTTCACTTACGCCATGAATACTTCAAAATTTCTAAGATACAACTAATAGATGAAAATGCAGCCAGTAATTATGATACAGGAGTAAAACAATGACGTGTTTAGTACCAAGATTGGATTGGACGGACAATGTGTAAGTGTTATGCCCTAGATCCAATCGATTTAGGTTGTAAACGCTTTTAATATATTTAATGCATTTGATTTTGGCGAGATCTATTATTTAAATTAATTTTGTAATAAATAATATTAAATAATAGAATCCGAAGACCCAATTTTTAGGTAATCTGTTGATCACAAGGAGTTGTGATGAACAAGAGTTCAAACATTTTTTCCCTAATATTACTGAATACTTTCCAGTACACTCTATCAAACAATCCATTAATATCCATATCAGATTGGAAAAGCCTCATGTGAACATTTTACGTGGATAACATGATCTAGACTATTGGAACTCATCCAGCATTGGCATATGACTTCTCAAACCAGTATGTCAGCTTTGACCACCTCTCCATGCATCATTAATTAATATCGATATGCATAATTTACTGGATACAATGATTCATGGATACAAGAAAATTAAGAAATTGCAGTTTGAATGAATATCTTAACCCCGTATGTTTCTTGTATGGTAATTTTCATGACAAAAGCTCTTACTGCCACTTCCAACATCTTATTGGCATAAATGCTTCAGGTTCTTAAAAACCTTATGGGGGCTTACTAAAGTTGTTTACGAACTATGAAATCCATGGTATGAATTATTCTAGCCGTGTCCCGGCCAATCTCGAGGAGTATTCAGCCCGCTGGACTTTGAACTGCGACAGAAGATCATTTCTCGAAGATTATTCAGCACTGCTGAATTTTGGAATTGTCCATTTTTGATGAAATTTGATTGGAAACGGGCTAATGACACGGTAGCTTTGCTCTTGACATAGGGCCAATTTCGAGCAAATTCCTTCATTTAGGCCTTCGTTTACATCTTCTTCTTTTTTTAATTATATCTCAATCAATTTAAGTTGAATTTGAATTTCGTTTGTTGAAGAATAATCCTTAAGATTAGGACTTTCGCTAAATAAAGCATTGTAAGCCTTTTATAACCGCATTGATTGACAGAAATAAAAAAGTTGTCAATTTTTTCATCTTATGAGATTTGTTCATCTTTCCTATAAACTTCCGCTACGTCAAAGGTTCTGATGCAGCACCAATAGGATGATTAATAGAAATAGAAGAAAGATTCCAAAAGAATGGGGAATTAAGGGAGGGGATAGAAGAAGAATTCAATAGAAGAAGGGGAGAGATGCGCCATAAGCCACCAAAATAATTATTCATTCATCATCTACTGAAAATTACAATGCAAAATAGGTTTAAATAGTAACGCAACCCTAACGAGCTTGGGCCCGAGCCCATACAAGTCCAAATTTAAATAATAGTCCAAGAAAATAAATAAAGCTTAAATAAAATAAGTAAACGTCCTCCGATGTCCTCATCAACTCTCCCGGGGTGGGAGGAAAACTCGACCCTGTCGAGTTGATAGATAATATAGATTGCAGTTAATCTGATACTCCAAATGCTTCAAGTTAAGCCACGGGGGACGATCTTTCTGACGAACCAAGTAACGAAATTCCATAATTGATAGTACTGAAAACTGTAGCTTATTCCCAAGAATATGATCTGACCAAGGGGGCCGATCTTTCCTTCTAACCAAGTACTGATACTGGACTTCAATTAACCAATACTCATGCACCTCATCTTCAACATTTTCACATGATTGTACATAATGAGGAGCATAAGAAGTACGTCGATTTACCCAACAAACAAGGAAGTACTGAATTTTGCCATCATTGGTCAATACAACATGTTCATCTAAAATAACATCAATTTTATCTTTGTGTGCTGTGATAGATGGTATTAAAGTAGAAATATCAATCTAGTCAAATTGGGGGTCCACAAAGTGAGGTAGAAATGGATCATCAAAGGAAGTAATACGGTATTTGTAAGTAATGAAGTCCTCAATATTTAAAGTAGAGTGATGGCTAAAATGTGATGAAAAATTAATGACATGTGCGTATGGACCAACATGCTTTAAAACTTTAAAAGGACCAGCACTACCGGCTTGCAATATAATATAATCCCCAATATGAAATTGAAAATATTGTTTATGCAAATCAGTTTGAAGTTTATATAATGCATTACTTGCGTGAAGTTGTTTATTGATCTTAATATGCAAGTCATGAAGATGATGCACAAATGCTTCAACTGATATCGACACACTAACATGTGGGGACATGGAAATAAGGTCTAACGGCCGCCTAGACTTATAACTATGAACAGCTTCAAATGGATTCAAACCTAGAGAACGATTTACAGAATTGTTATACGCAATTTGAACAGTTGAGGGAATCAAGTCCCAATTTCTAAGATTTTTCAGACTTGAATAAATTGCCAGGACTTTGGTTAACGACTTCATTTTGACCATCAGTTTGAGGTTGGTCAGTAGTGGAGAATTTCGATTTAGTGCTAAGAACAAGCGACTGGATTCTCTAAGGGTGACTAGTGATATTATCAAACTCTTTGAGTTGGGTATGACATATAACATGTGATCGAGAGTTGTCGAAAACAAGGGGTATAGTTTCTAAAGTCTCGGAAAGGGTCGAGATTCCACTTAAGGAAGTGTCCTCACTATAATCATCAAAATCTTCAAGTTTAGGGCCATATGCTAGATCTTCTAACGACTCTTCTATTGCATTCTTTCGTTCTTCTATGACTAAGGCTCGATTAGGACATTTGGAAGAGATGTGGCCAAAATCCTTACAGCTGATGCATAGCAAGTGAGAAATCTTTGGAGTTTCACAAATTATACTCTTATTTTCCAAAATTGTAGGAACATTAGATAGGGGAGGTCCTAGAAGGGACTTAACAGGAGGAAGTGGAGCCAATGAAACCGAAAGATGATTGCCATTACGCTTTCTACATGAAGAAGAAGATCTTGGACTATCACGACCTTTACAATTATTTTTCCAAATAGGAGGAACATTAGACGGAGAAGGTTTTATGATAGACTTATGATGAGGCGACACTAATGAGATGGGTGAACGACGATGACCACGCTTTTCATATGGAGTACTAATAATCAACTCTTAATCTCGAGTTAAAGAATAAGCGTGATCAAGAGTAGTGACACCTCGAAGGAAAAGCTCGCGCTTAAAATCATCTCTCAGACCTCGGCTAAACCTACTCAAAGTCATGCTTTCATCCTCAATTAAATGACATTTGGTTCGAAATTCCTCAAATTGCGCGATATACTCGGCCACTAATTGACTTCCTTGTTTAAGGGCATTCCATTGAGTAAGAATTTCAAAATTATCTCGTTCTCGCTTAAGAATCTGATCCCTATTCCTACGATCGTGTCGAAAATATTTTTGATCACTTATGAAACGCTTCAGAATTAATGTCAGTTAAACGAGGAGTTCGCTTAAAATTGCTCAACTTAGCAGCTAGGTTCTTTCTCTCCTCACGAATAGCAGTTATATTTGATTGGACAGTCGATAAGCTAGTGGCAAGTTGCTCTAATTGTCTAGTGAGTGCATCAAATTGGGATGGATCCATGGTCAATGTATTGGAAATAGAGATGACAAGACGACCACTATGCAACTACATGCAATGTAATACCAACTAAATAACATGCTATGATGAGATCAGTGAACAATACGTGCAAGCAATGGAAAATAACTTGTACCAATTTTTTTTTAATTTAATTTTAAATATTGGGATTAATTAAATCCAAAACAAGCTAATACTGCTAGTACATATAAAATGGCAAAGCAAGGGTCAACACTAGTCAAATTCTCCAATCAATTTAAGTGGGAAATAATGGAAGTCAATTCGGTCACTGGTGTCAATTCGATTAATGGTTTTGATCAAGTCAGGTTTAAAGCTAAAATTATCACAATAACAGCAGCACAAGATTTTAATTGATGCAATTTTAAAAATGAAGCAGTTGTATAAACCAATACTAAATAGAGATCAAGGACTCCCTGTTGTTTAGTTTTGATTATTTGTATGCCGCTTGATCTGAATTGCCGACTTATAAGCCCCAACTATGCTTCCGTTCTTCCCTTCGTATCCAATGGTTTTAGCCCCTGTAGACTGTAACTTGTGCTGGTTCTGGTGTGGACGTAAAACTGTGTGTAGTGACTGTGGCTTTTAGATTGTTGAAATGGACGAGAAAATATATGAGTGTGGTAATTGTGGTGGAAGTGTATGATCTTGGGTAGGTGGTGGTGGCCTATGGCGATGAAGCGGTAGTGCTCTGGATGCCTGGGTACAATAAATAATGAAGTGGTAGCGTGATGGTGATTAGAGGCGACAGCGGCAAGAGAGTGGTTATGAGAGAGAAATCGGGTGAAACTGTGGGGTATTTGATTTTAATGGATTGGTTATAATCGGGTTTGGTTGGATATTTGGGACTGATCATGGGTTGAATGGTGTTGGGCCGATTATGATAATATGTGATAAGTGGGTTGGATTTAGTGTTTATTGGGCTGAAAAGCAGGTGGATTAGCTAAATAGATGATGAGAGATGGGTTGTGCGTTTAGTGAGCTTTGGGAGTAATTTGGGCCACTAGCTAATGGCCCAAGTGTTTTGATAAAAAAAAATGAATGGAGTAGGTTATAGAGATGGAATATATGGGTTGAAGAGCTAAGTAGGCTTGAATGCTAGGGTTTGGGATTTGTGAAACAACATCACAATTAATTTTTTTTTATTTATGAGCAGCAGTAGCAGGAGGGAAAAAATGAGAATTTTTTTTTTTTTTTGGATGTGAACAGTAACTTTTTTTTTGAAGCTGATAATACAAAAAAAAATGAATTTTCGGGTGTGAATAGTACCTGTGAACAGTAACACTTTTTTTTTTTTTGGGGGGGGGGGGGGGGGAGGGGGAATAGTACCTGTGAACAGTAACACGATTTTTTTTTTGGGGTTGGGATGTGAACTAAAATTGCAGAAAAAAACCTATACTGAAATTTCCGCCTGTGAACAGTAACGTGAACAGTTTTTTTTTTTTTTTTGGAACAACTATGAAGAAGCTGGAAAAATAATAACTTGGCTGCTCATGCTAAAAGTTCATTTGTTTGTGTTGTTCCACAAGTTTTTAGGAAAGAAATAGAAAGAAATTTTTGGATTGGAGATAAGAGATTACCCAAGTTTAGGCTCTAATACCAAATTTGATACAGCACCAATAGGATGATTAATAGAAATAGAAGAAAGATTCAGAAAGAATGGAGAATTAAGGGAGGGGATAGAAGAAGAATTCAATAGAAGAAGGAGAGAGATGCGCCATAAGCCATCAAAATAATTATTCATTCATCATCAACTGAAAGTTACAATGCAAAATAGGTTTAAATAGTAACGCAACCCTAACGAGCTTGGGTCCGAGCCCATACAAGTCCAAATTTAAATAATAGTCCAAGAAAATAAATAAAGCTTAAATAAAATAAGTAAACGTCCTCCGATGTCCTCATCAGGTTCTCAACGTAAACCGTAAAGATATAACCTCAATTTCGTGTTACACTTTCTCTGACCATAATTATGAATAAATTTCATCAAGCCATATAAAAATGGTACAATAGATTGCACCTCATTGATGCTCCATAGTCTGATTGAACAATCAGCACTCCCACTGGCAAACTTCATCGGATCTACTTGGGAAAAATCCACGGACCAAGATCTCTTTTGGTGCTCCATGTATTGGACAAGTCCTTGCCCAGTTCTTGCATCCCATACCTTAAAAGTTTCAGATGTACAGCATTCTAGATGTAATAATAATAATAAAAGAATTTATCAACAGAGAAACCATGTCCTACTAAATATATATTTGTAATAAAAATAGGAAAGTAGAACTTGACAATAGAAGGTCACAGAATCAGAACGGCCAGGGCAGATGTGCATTGCCAACACAAAGATGTTGAAGAAGTTGGATATCATGTGCTAATAGATGATCATATCTATGCTCTTAACAAAGTTCATATCCTTTTAGCAAAAAATTTGAAGAATAACATTATTGGTTCATTTTTCTCCTTATCAACAAAGCAATTTTATATATAAGAGGAACTGTAAGTAGTGTTGGAAGAATTTTGTGAATAGTGACGCCGAAATGATGGTGACCAAGCCGAGGCAAGAGTTGGACTCTTTGTCCTTAAGTCGAATTTGCCCCGCAACGGTGCCTACGAATTTTGGCAATCGACTCCCAAGATACAACGGCTACACTTGTGTTTGTAGCACTCCAAAACACAAGTACAACGAACCAAATGTAGGCTTATGTACTCCACAGATGAAATGAAAGAAAATCAAAATAAATGAAATTATTTTGATTTTAGATAGAAGAGAGGATGAGAGACGTTTTTGCATATCAAAACTGTGTGGAATAGGACACCCAAAGGGTCCTATTTATAGACCATGAAGAGGTGTGGACGAAATGGTTGAGGCCAAACCATGCACCATTTTCAAACAATGCACCTTTATGAAAAGATGTCTATTCACTAATGGTTGAGGCCTTTTTCGTAATTTCTCATTCATCCGATATTGGTTTTCGAAATGCCAAATGTACCCTTCAATACATGCAGAGAAATCAAAATTCTCTTTCGGGGGCGTTGCCCCCTACCCCCCACGAGGGGCGCTGCCCCCTCGACCCTCGCGACCTGACCGGGCAGGTCGATCCCCGTTTGTGCGCCCCGAAGCGGCGAAGTGGCAAACAATTTTGCCTAAACGGATTGAGTCGAGCTTTTGAGTATTTGGCCGAATTCGATACGAACTTTAATCGATTTTCAATTCTCAATTTATTTAACCAATATCCAACAAGTAGGGGTGCTCCTGGTTCTAGATGAGATGCATTGTAAGCACAGAAAGAGAAGAAACCCTATAGGATTGATGGAGGCAAATAAACTCTCTAATAAACTCAGTTGAAAGTATTCCAATTGAAATAATGGGTCTTGAGAGGGTGAAGATTAAAGATAAGGGAATTTATAGAAGAGATTCTATACGTGCTATACTACTAATTTAGAAAGAAAAACAAAGAAATCATATTCATACAGTTACCCAAATATATCAATATATATCGCAGTACTGCAGTAGCTAATATATTTAGGATCATTCGGTTGTGAACGAAGTACGGAATACATACCAGCACTAGACCATCATAGTCGGCAGATGCCAGATAATTTTTGATGTAGTTATTCCAACAAACACAGCTAAATTTAGATTTGCTTGGCATTTGAATCATTGGATACTGAACATCAACAGAGTCATTCAAAAGGGAATCGAATTCAAAGATTTTGATTTTCTTAAAGACTCCAGCAGTAGCAATGTAGTTCTCTTCATGATCAAATCTCCAACAGCATATCGCGTTGCTTGAGTTGAGAATATCACCATTTTTAACGTCCCACAGCCCTCAAACTGTCTGTAGCGAGCAAACTTACAAATACCTTCAAAGAAGGCTCCAACTCAATCAACGGACTTCTCTTCCATATTTGGCTCTCAGTATTGATTTTGAACGCAAGACCACCTGTCATGAATCCTCAATATGTCCTTGTCTGATCGTTCCATTTCAGGAATATGGACTTGGGATTTCATACATAAGTAAGCATCTTCAAGTGCACTGACATTGCTCGTCATCTTAACCCCAAACAAATTTGTTTTAGAAAATGAATCATTATCTTTAAGTGAAGGTTTCTGTCTTGCATCGTCGTCTCCATCAATCCTGTCTGAAGATCTTCAAAAAGCATACCTTCTCTCAACCTCCTTGACATCAACTTCTAAGAATTCTATATTTTCCAACAACTTGGCGGCCTTATTCTGCATTTCTTCCTTTAATGCAACTAGAAAATAAAGTAAGAGATCTGACTCAGCATCAGCAACCTTGTTAGCAAATGATGGCTCATCACCTCCTAGAGTCATCTCTTCAGATCCATAAATTATCTCACAGTTCAGAAGTTCCCTGTCAGTCAAATATGCAGCATAAACTGACATATCAGTAACACAGGAGATAGATTCATGATTTTTTACCGGGATAAGGGTTAAATCATCAAGGAAAAATTGCAGTACATCCCAACCTATTGCTCCTGAATCACAAAAACGATCCAGTTTCTCCCTTAAATTGTCATGTAACCCTCGCATGTCTAACTTCATGACGCTAGCCTTTTCCCAACTTGGACTGGTTCCCACAAATTTTAAGTGAGGCATATTTCGATAAAAGTCATGTGACATGTGACAATCTAATGGAGAACTGTACGATTTCTGTCATTGGAGAGTGATGGGAACTATAATAAAAGATTGAGGAACACTTGCTCCTTTTGTAATTGTTAAGGACCAACTTGCTATTCCAACTACAGGTGGTGGACTGATGCTACTATTTTCTCAATCATCAATGTATCTTGATCTCCTAGAGGGTCAGATGTTATTACAGTCATGAAGGAGAAAGTTTATAGCCCTTAGAATTCTTGACCAATAATAACTGTGTGTAAAATATGACACATGAACATCATTCTCCTGCAATCGCAAAGCATAATATGACAGTGGTTCTGTTAACATTTGATTTGTATATTCTGACCCGCATATTCTTCTAGTAGATGATTTTAGAGTTACAATCTTCATCATCTGATGGATGCGAAACAGTCTTTGAGCCACAGTATCCCTGTTTATCATTAGTTCTCTCTTTCCAAAAGACGAAAACCGTTGCAAGACGGCACATGGCAAAACAAATTTGTTGCCATTGAAAGTCATGGTAATAGTTGACATATAACTCACTAATATTTGGTAAGCATATAACGCTTATTTAATCTAATATTTATGCAATTAAAATACAACATTATCAACTTTCTCCCAAAACTTTTTCATTCTTGGCATCTTTGCAGATATATATGTCTTCTGACCACTATCATTTGATAATTTCTATGATGGTGCAATCTTGGCTACATTTTACATGTCTTGGCATTTCATAGTTATGACAAAATTCAGATTCTATCATACTAGAAGAAGTAAAATAGATTAGATGATTCAAGAAAACATACCTGGTTGTTGGACGAGAAGAAGGTTCAGGATGCTGCAGCCAAAAACAGAAGGCAGCTTCCCTTGGAAATTCAGAAAGAAAATTAGAAGGTAGAATCCGATTGCGCAAATCTAGCATTGCCGCAGAATGTGCTTCTATTGATTCAAAATGCCAAAGCAACTGAAGGAACGAGTAAGTATCAGTGCAAAACTACATATATTTGGTCTTACATTTTTTGTTTTTTAATAAAACCCAGAGTTAAAAATCATAAGATGAATTAAAACATATATGAGTCCCCATTTTTTAAGTTCATTTACGTTACGTTGGTTCCGAGATACATTGCCTTTTCCCTTCTTTCCTCTCTGTGTTCAGCTGATGAATATGTTCTCTGCTGTTAAATTTCAGTTGTCATCTTAAATTAGAAAAGCAATCTAACAAAGCTTTACATATTCCATTGCATGATTCTCAACCTATACATTTCCAATATATGAAGCATGTGGCGTGCCAAAGTTTGTACAATGCATTACATTTTGACATATCAAGTCCAAGGAAGAAGAACAAGAAACCTGATGTCAGTATTCACGATTACCCCAAGTCCCTACCTTTAACGATTATTAAGCAGAAGATAGACTCGTGTACAATGGCAGGAAAAGAGGAATTACTCTTAATATTGAGAGTAGATCATTGTGAAAATTTAAGTCGAAACTTAAAGAACATAAAGCTTAGATAAATCAACAATAATTCTTACCTCAAATAACAAAAGATATTTGATTGAGGATTGTCAAGCTCCTCTGGACAAGTATACCATTTCTTTTCCAACTGAGCAGCATCAAATGCAACCCCAAACTGCCCCTGGATAGATTGCCTTCCTGCGTAAAATTGTTTCGAGCTGCACATTCAGGCTGGTTAGAATTTTCCACATCACTGATGCCAGTCCTTACCTGATTAGAACCATTGTCATTGACACCATTTTTGGAGATGAACAGAGGTTTATGCATTATCAATTTGTCCTGGCATAGTTTTTGCTGCTTTACACCAAATTTTCCACATGGAGACATTTCATGCTCCAAATGTCTCTTCGTTCTAATATCCTTATCCATCAAACTGAGTAATTCTGCCTGCATCAACGAACCAATGTATTTGACATCATCGGGTGGCAATAAAATAAACGAAGATGGGCATATATGCAGCAAGGAAAAGCCTTGAGAGTGTGCAATATCCACTATTTGCACAATCTGCCTAAACAAATGCAGCCTGTAACTTTTATTTATTTTGGAACGCCCAGAGTTTAGCCATTCTCTCAAGGTACTCCCAAAATGAGGCAATTCAAGTCCTTTCCTGCCATTATCACAAGAATGAACCTGACTAGAAAGGGACATATCCGATGATTTTCTATTTGAGGAAGTCTGCTTGTCTGTATTCTGACCCATTCTTGCTCTATGAAATTCAGAACAAACCCCGAGGCTTTTATTTGGAACATTCTTCTCTATTGATACCATCGACTGCTTACTGAAAAAAGAGAAACTTGATGAAGATAAGATTTTAGACCGATCATAACAATGAGGCATTCTACAAGAGGATTCTTTGCTATAACCATCAGTCAAAGATATTCTACTTGAGTCTTTGTCATTTTGCCTACTTGATAAAGGTTTCGACTTGTAGAAGTTCGTTCTTGGCAAATCTTCCCTAGAAATCTGATGAGGACATCCTTATAGTTGGACTTTTATTATTGTTTCAGTATTTTAGTTGGACCTTTATTATTGTTTCAGTTGGACTTTTATTTAAGTTTACGTATTTTAATTAGGACTTAAATAATGGGCTTGGCCCTATATTTCTAGGTTTTCATTATTTAAACCTATCTTGGTTTGTAATTTTTCAGTTAATGATGAATTGATTGAGAATTATTGGTTTTGGCTGCTGCCATCTCTTCTCCCTCTTCTGCCTTATTTCTTCTTCTTCTTCCTTCTCCCATATCTCTTCTTGTTATTTTTATTGAGTTAATCATTCTGCATCAAATTGGTATCAGAGCGAACTTGGGAAAACAGTTGGGTGTTCACTGCGTTGCTCAAAACTCAATTTCTGCAGAATCCAGTTAACACCTTCACCCCCTCCTGCGACAGAAAATCTTTTCGACTGCCTTACTGCCAAGTCCGAAACCGTTCCAACTCCTCGACCCTGTCGAAACACAACCACCACCACCAACTCACTGCTGCAAAACCCGTTCACCATCTCTGCCTTCCCAGTCGTCTATCATACTCCCAAGACACGGTTGCCTTCCGAGTCGCCGATAGGTCCTTCGTCGCCCCCGACAGCCGTCAAAACAGACCCAACAATCGGCCTCATCCACCACCGATTTCAATCCAAACACCATCACTCACTACAACAATACCATCATCTGCCGTCCTGCAACTTTACAAAATCAGACAAATCGAAGTTGAAGCAGACTGCCGCCAACAGCTGCCAGCAAACTGCCACAGTAAACCAGTAGTAGCCGTCCAAGCCCAGCTTCGTCGAGGCGTTCCTCGTCGGCCAACCCAGTCGTCGAATTCTGCAGTCTTCAGTCGGTTGTTTATGCGTTATGGGTTTGGGCTGGGTTTTTTTATTTAATGGGGTTGGTTTAATAGTATCAAGTGGGTTTGGGGTTAATTTCAATCGGGCTTGTTTATGTCTAATACTTGGGATTGGGCTTAATTGGGTACTAGTTATCAATTGGGTTTTGGGTTAATTGGTTTAATACTTAAGTGGGTTGGGTTATTGGTCATCAATTGGGATTGGGCTTGATTAAGATTTTGATTGTAATTTAGGCCCACATTTGTGAAATGGGCTCATTTATTATTTTGTTATTCTAATTTTGTATTATTATTAAAAAAAAAAAAAAAAAAAAAAAAAAAAAAAAAAAAAAAAAAAAAAAAAAAAAAAAAAAAAAAAAAAAAAAAAAAAAAAAAAAAAAAAAAAAAAAAAAAAAAAAAAAATT